TTCTTCTTCCCTCTGTGAAGGAAAAAAAAAAAAAGAGGAAAATAGTTGAAAATCGGTCACATTCCAGAGAGATTAGAGCCAGTCCTGGGTCCTTGTTACCAGCCAATTAAAAACAGGGATAACCCCTTCCCTGCCGGAGCCCGTCCCTCTGGGAACCCTCTGGGAGCCCCCAGACCCTGGAGGAAGGGGGACAGGGGGATCCCCTCGTGCCCAACTCAGGGTGTTCACGACAGGATTTCCGCTCCTCTTCCGCACAGGCATCAATGCAGCTGCAAGGGTTTCCCTGGGAAGGGGGAAAAGTGCTGCTGGAGAAGTCCTGGCTGGGGCTGGGCTGGGACTGCATGGCCTAGTGTGGCATGTCCGGGTGGGAGTTGTGTGTCCCAGGACTGCATGTCCTGGTGTGTCATGTCCTGGTGTTGTGTCCCAGTATCGTATTGGATATCCCAAGATTGCACATCCCAGCATTCCATATCCTGCTGTTGCAGATCCCGGCATTCCACATCCTGCTGTTGCAGATCCCAGCATTCCATCTCCCCCTGTTGCACATCCTGGTGTCCCATGTCCCAGGACTGCATGCCCTCATGTTCCATGTCCCACTGTTGCACATCCCAGCATTGCCTGTCCCAGCATTGTTTGTCCTGGAGTCTTGTGTCCCAGGATTCCATGTCCCAGTGTTGTACGTCAACGTGTCCAAGCACCACATATCCCAGGACTGCATATTCCGGTGTTGCGTGGCCCAGCATCACACATCCCAGCGCTGTGTGTCCCGGCCTGGGATTGCATCTCCCAGTGTTGCATGTCCTGGTGTTGTGTGCCCCAGCATGGCATGTCCCAGGGTTCCACATCCTGGTGTCACATGTCCCAGCAGTGCCATGGAGTAGCCTGTCCCAGGACGGTGTCCCAGCTCTCCGTGTCCCAGGACTGCGTGTCCCAGGATTGCACATCCTGGCGTTCCATGTGCTGATACTGCATATCCCAGCACTGTTTGCCATGGGCCTCATCTCCCAGGATTCCCTGGCCCAGCACTGTGTGTCCCAGTGCTGCTGTCCTGTCTCGTGTCCGTGCAAGATGCAATTTTTGAGGGAAATGGGTGTTCCAAGCTGGATGCACTGCATCCACGTGCCCCAGGATCGCCCATCCCAGATTTACTGCCTATCCTGGTGCTCTGTCTCCAGGCTCTGCAACTCATCCCAATGCTGCACATCCCATCATTAATCCCAATGCTGCCTGTCCCAGCACAGGCTCCTCTCTGCTGGGATCAAAGCCTCAGGCTCGGCACCCACCGGCCTCATTTTAGGAGAAAAAAGGTCTGTTTGGGACCATTTTTCCAGGTAAAACATTACCCGGAGGCTCTGGGGCAGGAGCCTCTCCACTGCCTTTCCATTTACCTGCAGGTGATCCAACAGGAACCACCATGGAGAAGATCCAGGGAATCCCAGCACCCGGGTGCTTCATCCCCACCCCAAAACCCCCACAGATGAGCTGGAAAGCACCTGGGAAGATTCCCACTGGTATCCATCAGCATCCATCCCTCCCATGCCATCTCCATCCCAGGACAGGACTTGGGGGATGGTGACCCCCAGGTGTCCATCCTCATGCCATTCCCTTTTCCAGCCTGAATTCCCAGGGCTTTGCAAAGTCCCCCCAGTCCCCCGGTGCTCCCAGGAGGGCCCCCATTCCCAGCCTGCTTACACAGAGGTGGGACAGCCAACAGCCTCTGCTCCAGCTCTTTTCCCCAAAATCATGCCGGGGAGATGGGAAAGGCCAAGCATCAGGGTAGGAAATGGGGGTTTGGGGGATGTTTAGTAGAGCCCCCCCAAACTGTCCAGGTGTGGCTGCTGCCCCAAGGCATCCCAAGGTCCTGGCCTTGAGCAGTGTCACCAGCTGGTTTGGGAAAAAAACCACCCAAATCTGGTT